TCTTGGGACACCGTCAAACGAGTAATTTTCACGGCTTCCTAGCGATATCAAAGCTCGTTGCGACATGGAGCTGTTTTATAACGTTGACAGAATGGCAATATCAGCTAAACATCGGAGTAGTTTAGGCCAATTTAAACATCTGTAAGATTATTAAAACATGCTTTAGACAATTAAAGCAGTATAGTTAAATTCCTGTGGCTTACTTCAAGGATAATTTGACTCGACGTCGTCGAGCTGACTACGTGGTACATCGTAAACTCCCTACTAACTCTTGACGAGGGGCCTTCGCTCGAAACGTCGAGTTTCTGCTTATTTTTTATGGTAGCAATATAACCACTCAGCACAGCATTTTCACATTGGTACTACCAACACTGGTACAGACAGTTTTAGTAAAGGAATACCGAATGTTTTCCGTGCAGGATTGCGTGATCCATGCACGCGGGATGTTGCGAGACTTTCGGAAAGCGTAAAAATATACGAACCGTAGGCGAGTGTATTTTTACGCTTTCCGAAAGTCGAGTAACATCCCAAGTGCATGGATCATGCTATCCTGCACGGGAAAACCATTTGGTAATTGTTTTATAAAATTACTACAGTGAAACGACGCTTAACTTGATTAAAACTACTGATGAAATGTGCAGTTCTCACAACATTCGTGAATTAACCAATCAGAGAATCGCTACCCCACTCTATTGAAAACAACAACATATGTGAACAGAATTTGATCGCAAATTCGCGAAAATATACAGCGAAAATACAGGGACTTTTTTGATAAAATATACGAAATTTGAAATGAAAAACCCGCTAAACAGAGAGCCAAAGCAGTTTTGAAGATTCTCGACCTGAATACATGTATGTGAAGATTGCGAAGCGTTTGATCAACTTTGAAGCGAGAGATGTTGACAACAAACTTGCATGCCATGGTCTGATGAATTTCAACGCTACGCGTTGCTACTTGCTGAATAGCAATGTATCGATCAGAAATTTATTCATACAACTAAACCAACGTCTCAATAATTGGAAACTTACTTCAAAGTCGAAAGGTATCCTACAATGAAACTTTACAATGCGAGTATATTAATTTTGTAAAATTATGTGCAAGAATTTCTGTTCAGAATTTCCCGTGCAGGATTGTGTGATCCTGCATGGCTGTTGACCAATCAAATTGCGTGTTTCACTGTTGTTAATATATAATATATGGTCCTTACTGGACCTCTAGGAAGAACAGCTTAAAACTGATAGAGCTATCTAGTGTAATTAAAGTTAGTTCAGTTTAGGTTTCCGCTTAGCATGTTTTTCCCAGACAAGATCACCTTGACAGCTCAAATTTATGCTATTGTTCCAGAAGAAGAGAATACCTAGTACAAATATGGGAGGGGTACTGGATATGTCAATGAGGGGTGCACACACCTTTCTACCCTCCTCCTCGAAATCAATTGAATGACTATCCTACCTTCCCATGAACAGTCTTTTGCATCAAAACGTAACAAATCATTCAACATACGTTTCCTAAAGTTCGCACAAAAATATATAGTTGACACAGAGCTAGAAATTAAATTGTGCATGCTGTGGTATGAATGTAGTGCTTTTCTCTGAGTGGAAAATAATTATTGACAATATACAGACGTTTTGTTGTTGGAAAATAAATTAAATTGAGGTATATCATTTCTTTAATCTCTACAGCCTGATCTGATGCAAAACGATTTTGTTTGCTATTACACTTGCTTTTCCCTTGACACATGAAATTGCCTGGCATTAGACAGAGTAAAATCACCTGACTGAGTAACATAATAAAGTAGGGTGCATTAAGGTATGAACAAGCTTTCGTTGGTAGGGATGCAACTATCTGAAAATAGATAATGAGAGTTTTGACGTTTCGAGCGAAGGCCCTTTGTCTGGAGTTACTGAAGGGTCATTCGGTTAGTTATTAGGACTGTTTGAAGGGTCCTTTGTCCAGAGTTACAATAAAGGTCTTAATTACTCAAAACATAGAAATTCTCCTTAAGTATATAATTTCAGGTAGTTGCATTCCTATCAACAAAAGCTTATTCTTTCATTAGTACTACCTACTGTACACTGTGCATTCAGGTATATTACAGGTTAATGTGTTAACAAGATAGAGTGGCAAAACACCGTCCCCTGACGAGCAAAATTGTCTGGCATTAGGCGATGATAGTAAAATTACAGTAGTTGGGTGCATTTGTATCGCATTGCGCTCCAATTATGCGGCTAGATACCAGTACTTTTATTATTATTTTACTCTGTCTAATGTCAGATGATTTCACTCATCAAGGGGAGAATACTCAATGGGTTAACAATACACATTGACATTGGCAGATATTTTGGTTATAATTAAACCATCAATGTGCAAGACAGACTTCCCTGAACACAAGTAAAATTGTTCGGCATTAGAAACTACCGATCAGAAACTACCGATCATTCATACAACAATCTACTACCTGATTCTGACAATGATTTTACAATGACGTCATAATGTCAATCAACCGAGTGAAAGACGTCATTCATTTCGACTTTTTTTAATGGCAATTTCCAATATGTATGTGTAACATCAGTTACTACAACCAATATGTTCATTAAAACCGTTCATAAATGGCATATATTATTTCGTCGCGAGCATGGTTCGCCTAACACCTAACATGCTACGGTTCGTGCAAGAGATTAAACATTTCATTTAATTTTTTGCATCATGAAAAAAGGTGATTCAGGTTAAGCATTATGTACATGCAACATGTATCAACGCGCAATGTATATCATTTTCAAAGAACATATTTTCTCAACAATCGGTTTTAGGGACCGGTCATTATTTATGGAAGGGGGGAGGAGATTTTTTCTTTCCTAAATTTTTAAAATTGAACCCCCCCCCCCTTGAAAGAGCAGAAATTTAATGACCCACCCTTGCATATTACAATATTTTTCTTTGACCCCCAATTTTTGAATCGATTTTACAGAAAATAAGATTGCGACAACAATATTATACCTGTAAATTTCATATAGTGGTGGCAACATGTTAGCGCATAATTATTATAAACGATATGAGATCACTCCATGACCAACTGAAGGAAATGGGCATCAATGTCGATAATAAATGATGATTGGTAGTCTTCCTGAAGAATTCAAACCTCTGATCACAGCTTTAGACGCTGTTGGAGAAAATAATTTATCATATGAAAAAGTAAAAGGAATGCTTTTGAATGTCGATCGAAAGTCTGATACGAAAAAGAATGAAGATGCTTTTTCTGCAAAGCGTGGTTTTGGTGCAAAAGGAAAAAGATGGTCGCGATATGGTAACACCATTGATGGGTAACACTCAAGGAGGTGATGGAAAGTCAAATTATCAGAAAGGTGATGGGAAATCTGAAAGACCCTTTCATGGTCTTTGTCATTTTTGTCATGAGAGAGGACATTTTGCAAGAGACTGCCCCAAAAAGAATCCAAAGAATAAGAAGTTTGCTAATAAAAAGAAATTGAGAACCAAGAAGAAATTAATAGTAAATAGTATTGTGTGAGGCTCGTGAACAGGGCATGGTAGGGCGTTGGCTATGGTTGTACGGACGGGGGGAATTTGGGCTCTTTTTTTTCTCAATTAATCGAGAAGCACAATACAATAGATCAGGAGGGAAAGCCACTGGATAGTATGTGGCGTGCTCTCTTGAATGTGCAAAATTAATTTCTCTTGTCTTGGATGGGCGCGCGTTAATTGGAATCACTTCACTACGTTTGAAATGACATGGTTGAGGTGCCGTTTAATTAAATTTCAAATGACGCGAGACAACAGATCACGACACTTTTGTATATAAAAAGAGCGTGTGAATTAAACAAGTCACATATCATTAGCACTGATGAAGATCCGGGCTTACGGATCGAAAGCCTTGCAGTAATAAATTTACGTGGTGTTTCCACAAACAAAACCATTATATTTTATCGCCATGCAAACATACAAAGAACTTAAGTTTGCTAATGTTGTAAAAGGAGAATAGCAAGAAGATGTTCACGATGTCACCAATCAAGAAGCTTTATTTACTTCTAATGACGATAGCAATTGTGGTTGGATCATAGATTCAGGTGCCACACAACATATGACGTCTTAAAAGAGTCGACTGGTCAATTATGTTGAATTTATGCAACCTTGTAAAGTGAATTTGGTAAAGGAACTTATAATCTTGTAGCCGATCTGGGTAACGGACGTACCCAAAACATTGCTCTCAAGGAAGTTCTGTACTTACCTGATCTGAAGAAGAATCTGTTGTTTGTCCAAGTAATGGGAAAGTTAGGTGCATGAATTCAATTTGATGGTGTCCAATGCAAGATAGAGAGAAATTCAAAGCTGCTAGCTACTGGTGAGCTGAACGGTAAGCTGTACATGCTGAAGATTATTCCTGGAGTGGAGTATATCAATGTTGTGAGAGAAGCACCAGATAAGAACTTGTGGCATTGTCGATTTGGACATTTACTGTAAGAATGAACGGTATTTCTAAATTGATCAATGAAAACATGGCTGAAGGAATGAACTGTTCTGACCATGGTAAAGAATCATCATTATGTGAATCATGCGTGATGGGAAAGCAACACCGCACACCATTCCCAAAAGACTTTAATTCCCGACACCGAGCAAGTGAACTGCTTGAAATCATTCATACAGATGTCCGTGGTCCTATGCATGTAAAATCATTTGGGAATTCAAAATACTTTGTTACATTTATCGATGACTATTCAAAGTATACACAGATGTATTTTCTTAAGAGTCACCAAAGACATAAAAAGCATTGTTGTAAGCAACCATTGTATGTTTGCTGAGTCTGTAGAGAAGAGAATAAATCACAAAATATTACTGGACATTGCTTTCTTGCTATTTTCAAGTACATCTTGGTGCAAATAAAATGGGATGACAGGCAGGATGAGTTGGAGTAAGATTAAATGATTAACCCTTTAAAGTGGCAATGCGCCCTACTTCATTATTTTACTCTGTCTATAGGCCCGGTTTAGATGGCAAACTTTTCATGCGCCAAATCTAATTGTCGTGGATTCGGCAAAATATCAGAAACTGATTTCTAAGACGTCAAACATAATTGTACCGTACCAAATTGCGAAGACACTATATTAATATTGGACATATTTACAATGCTAATATATGATAATCATATTATAATGTTAAAAATAATTATGTATTAGGTTCAGTGCATGAAAACCATGGCGTCTAAATCAATGTCGAACCTGTGTCGCATATACGAGACGACTTGTCTTGTCGCATCTTCGAGTTGTGTCAAACTTAATCAAAATTAACCTGTCAAACTTATCTGATTTAGTCACCGCTCCAGCGTCACACTTAATCCTTGCATTAGCTTCGGCGCATGAAAAGTTTGCCATCTAAATCGGGCCTAAGTCTAATGCCAGATGATTTTACTTGCCAGGGAGAGAGTGCTAAAGTAACCCTAACCCACAACAAACAGTGAATCGGTCTGATTCGGTCAATAGATCTTATGCAAAATGACGTCACAAGGCTTGATGCCTGCAAGAAATACTGGTCCAATAGAATCATCGTGCGAGAAAATTAAACAATTCAAAATGCCCATGGTCAAAATGGGTCGTTCCAGAAAAGATCCATACTCCCCTCACAGAGGAAATTTCTGCCGTCCAGAGGGGGAAGGGCGAAAAAATTGTTTCTGATAATAGTAAATGTATTAGGACATCCGAAGTGGGTAGGGGGGTTAACTTCCTATTTCCT